AAGTGCTTGGTACACCTGTTTTTCATTATAGCCTATTTTATCAAAACAGAAATGCTAATTGTTCCAATTTAATTAACTCCTTTGTAACCAAAGACGTATTGTGTAATGCTTACTTACTTTTGCACTTAATGAACAACAACAATGTAAACTGCCAAAGCAAATGGATGCCCTCTGTCCTAGGTCAACTGGCAGCTGACCCTCAGAATATAACTATCGTAGCATGTTTGGCAATATTTCTGCATGTTTCGATCATGAGACCTCCAGAATGCCTGACGCAGCTGGTATTGGATCACTGTGACAAGCTGCAGGTATTCTTTGTACGCTATACAGATGAGATCAGCGTGCACACAGCTTTTCAGTAAAAAAAACAAAAAAAAAACCTGTAAGAAGGCTAAAGATAGTGGGAGTTTATGTATCCCTAGTATTCTGCTAGTCCAACTTCCATCATCTCTGTGAAGACAAATTGTTCCTATGTATTATTTTTATGTATTTAATAATCTACCTCCATTCACTGCTTTTGGCTTTGCAAGTTGCAATATTTTGTATTTGGGCTATCATTTTTTTATTTTTTTATTTTTTTTTTTTGCAGGTACACGAGTTTAGTGGAGCTAACCAGGCAAGCCTAGAGCAGAAGGTGAAAGAATTGAGTTAAATGGAAGAAAATACGTTGGAAATCTACTTCTGTGCTTTATATTTTTAAATGCCATATCCATATTATAATTTGAAATTCCTTTTTAAATGAAATGTGTATTTATCAATACACTTTCAACATATCCTGATCTATATATTCTGCAGAACAATTGTAGAAAACTACCAACCATGTAACCTCTTTATATCAGTGTATGTTATCTTTAAAGAGCCTTAGTATGCATCACCCTGTATATCTCTAGAATGGAACTTTATTAAATTAAAATTCAATACAGTTTAATGTCTTTCATGTGTTCATTGGTAATCCACTACATTAGCAGGATGCTTGGCCTCTGTGAAGGTATGCTGTCCACAAATGTGGTATTTTTTTTTTTTTTTTTTATTTACGGTTTATTAAATAAGACTTGTAGTGCACAGGTACTGTAACACTGCATTCCTCCAAACCAACACAACTTTTCAATACATATAAAGCTTTTCACATGCGGACAGCTCTGTAGTAGTCTTCCGTGGTTTAGTTTACAATTAGATTGAGGTTCTTTGGTAAAACAGCATTGTGCAAGATAAAAAGCATTGTTCACTTTATAATATGTATGCATGAGTTGTTTTGTAAATCTGTACACATTTAAGCTATTTAATAGGACATTATAGGCACCAAGACCACTTCATCTCAATAAATTGTTCTGGGTGCAGTGCATCTGTCATTTTAGCCCTGCAATGTAATTCGGCAATATTTTCATTGCAGGCTAAACACAAATAGTGGCTGGCTTCCTGATAGCCACAAGAGGTGGTTCCTCTGTGAGAACTAAGACTCTGCTCTCACAGTTAGGCATCTCCAATGTATCTCATAGAGAGAATTTTATTGGAGTAACAAAATGGCGCTGGCTATTTTGTCCTCAACTTGAGGAGCATTTTATTGGACAACAGGATGAGAGGTGGATCAGGGTGGCTGCAGGGAATGGAGCTTGGCACAGGGTAAATAGTGAATTTTTTCATTGGGTGGGGGGAGCTTAGGGCTGAATCTAAATGGTGAGGACACAGGTTTGTATTCCTAACACTGAAAGGTTACATTTAAAAGAAATGTAAGCACCATAACAACTTTATCGAAATACAGTTATGGTGCACAAGGTCCATGGCTCTTCCTTACCATTATTAGTTAAACCATTCACAAACTGTTTAACCCCAAAGTCTACTCTTTAGTGCCAATTTTCATTATCCCTGTCCATATCTGATTTTAGAAAATTAGCTTGAGGAAGCACAGACTGCTGCTGGACAGGAGCACCACAGGTAACTGATGCTCTGACACTCAGTAGCTCACCATTCACGAAAAAAGGTATATACCATTTTTAAACTTTTTTTTTTTTTTTTAATGGTGCCAAAACTGTTCCTGCATTAGTTGACTAATTTATTTTTCCAGATCTCCTTTTTAGTCAACATGTTTTATAGAGTGTAGTGCATTTGCTTACATCTCCCTGCCACCCCTCCCAGTCCACAGAGATATAAGCTGTCATCTATAATGAGCTCAGATCACCTGCTGTTCTTGACAATCCATGGTCTTTTGTCATTGTATTTTGAAAGAAGTAAAGGGAGGGGTTGAAAGATTTTAATTTCTGCTTAGTAAACATGTTCAGCCAGTGAGGGTTATAGTGGTGGTGCCCAGAAAAAAATAAAAGCCACTTTATTTCATTTATGAATTTCGAAACATTAGGTGAGCATAAGGATGACAACATTAGCAACAGTTTGAAAAAAATAAATAATTTACCCCCCACCCCCACTCCCTACAGGGCCATGGGAATACTTGTAGTCTGCCTGGAGAATTTTCCATATACATCTAGCCTTAACAGTGTGTGGTTAATTATAAAATGTGCTTAGTCATCCTTACTATAGCATAAATGTCTTGCCCCTGTAGAATATCAGAAATAAGTTTGAAATTAAATATGCTCATGTAGTAATCAATTAAAAATATAACATTTGTTAATCACCATAAAAGTACATATCACTAAAATGAAAAAAAAGTAATTTGTAACATGTGCTTGTGTGGGATTGATAAGCAATTTTATTTTACTTTCCACACAGATCTCTGTAAAACAGTTAACACTATGGATTTCTGCCCTATTCTCCGATAAAAGCAGTTTTAATTTATGTATATAAAATTTATGTATATTTATATCATTTTTATTAAAAAAATAATAGTATGATTAAGTCTGGCCTATTTTAGGTGAGGCATGGTGCCCACAATTTGCCACAGACTTCATCAGCTGCTCTGCCAAGTCAAGTGCAGTTTACCTGGTGCATAAAGGATCAGTCCCACCACCATAGTAACAGAAAGAACCACTCTTGGAACCATATCAACGTTATGGGAATTAAGTTATTATGAGGAGGTCCCATGTCTGGCTTACCTGAAGGGAGAAAAGCAGTTAATGGAAGGTTAACCTCAAAGTCTTCAAGCTAGCACTTGGTTAGTCTTCCCCTGAACTTATGCTCAATGTCCGAGGCTTTAATCAGTAAGAATGAGTGGGCGCTGCTTGTAGTAAAAAATTAGACTTGTATATCAAAATGTAGGAATGCACTTACATGTATAGAGGAATTTAAGAAATGGCTCTCAGTATTCAAGCACTGTGCTATAAAGGGAAGAGGTGCCGTCCCTTTATACAAATGCTGTTTGTAAAGATAATCTGAAGAATGTGTTGCTCTGTGTGTTTTTTCTTTGAGCTAGGATCAAAGGTTTGTTTGCTTTACAACTGAAGGGTGTGGTGCAACCCATAAAAGACTCTTTAACAAATTAAAGTGGCTCTATCACCTTCTGGGGTGTTTGCACATTATGTAACACAGGGCTGGTGCAGGGATTTTTGCCACCCTAGGCAAAAGAAAAATTTGCCGTCCCCTCCCCCCCATGTGACATCACAATGCCCCACCCATATGATCAGCCATATGAACTAACACCAGTGCTGCACACAGTGTGTGTTTACATAAAAATGCCTGCAGGGACAGGCTATAGATACCAGAACCTCTACATTAAGCTGCAGTGGTTCTGGGGACTATAGTGACCCTTTAATGTGAGGTAAATTAGAGATTAGTGTCACTAATAATATACTAGATTGCCTACTTACAACCAGATGAGGATGATGATGGGCTCTGGCTCCACTGGTCTGGTGTAGAACAGGATCTCTGGCGACTGTTTGTAACTGTGGTCACAAAATTCAATGTTCTGGGAGAACGGGAAGCAGCTCAATTTTTTTTTTTGGAGCCCCTTACACAGCTCAAGGTCTGGGCCCCAGGGTCTGACGGTGAGTATGCACATAAGGCCCACTCATAAGTACACTTATATGTTCCACCCACCCATGAGTTCGCTCACAGGGAGTGCAGTATGTAGGGGAAGTTATTGTAGAGGATCTAAAGTATGTATTTATGTAATGTAGTGTACAGGGATACCAGTTTGTGTAGGTGAAGCAGTGTTTTTGTGTAAGGGATAGAAAGCAGTGTGTGTTTGTGTATAAGGGATGTATTGTGTAATTCTGGTTGTGTGTAAGGGATGCATTGTGTTAATCTGTGTTTGTATGCATAAGGGATGCAAGGTGTGTTTCTGTGTATGTAAGGGATGCAGTGTGTGTCTCTAAGGGGTGCATTGGGTGTAAGAGATGCATTGTATTTCTGTGTGTGTAAGAGAAGCAGTGTGTGTTTGCATGTGTGTGTAAGATGCATTGTGTGTTTCTGTGTATGTGTGCAAAGGATGCATTGTCTGTGTGTGTGGATAATGGATGCATTGTGTGTTTCTCTGTGTGTAAGGGCAGCATGTTGTGTTTATGTGTATGTATAGGGATGCATTGTGTGTGTGTGTGTGTGGTGTTCTGTCCTTTAGAGCTCTCATCTGCCTCTTAGTGGTCTCTCCTCCCCTGTCCCTTAGTTGTCTCTACTCTCCTCCCCTTGTGGTCTCTCATCTTCTCCCCGACTTTCCCTTGGTGGTCTCTCGTCTCCCCCCCTTAGTGGTCTTTGCACTCCTCTGCCCCCCCTAGTGGTCTTCCCAACTTTCCATTATTCGTCTCTCCTCTTTCCCTCCTTCCCATTAGTGGTCTCTCCTCCCTCCCCACCATCCTTAGTGGCCTCTCATCCACCCCCCTCCTGCCCTTAGTGGTATCTGCTCTCTCCCCCCCTCCCACATTCTCCTCCACACTTCCCACCCTCCACAGTGGACTCTTTCCCCCTCCCCCCATGTTTCCTCCCCCCTCCTCTCTTAGTGGTCTCTTCCCCCTCCCTCTCTTGGTGGTCTCTTCTCCCCCTCCCTCTCTTAGTGGTCTGTCTCACCCCCCTCCTCTCTTAGTGGTCTCTCCTCACCCCCCTCCCACTCTCTTGGTGGTCTCTCCTCCCCCTCCCTCTCTTAGTGGTCTCTCCTCACCCCCCCTCCCTCTCTTAGTGAAGGGTCTCTCTCCTCCCACCCCTCCCTCTCTTAGTGGTCTCCAACCCCCCCATTTTCCTCACCTCCTCTGAGATCTCCTCCTGCTCCCTCACTTGGTAGGACTGTTCACCCACACCTGGTTCTACCCACTCTCTTCCTTAGTGGATCTTTCACCCCCAATTCTCCCCACCTCCTCCCTTAGTGACTCTTTCATCCCTCTGTTCTCTCACCCCCCCTCCCTTAGTGGACTCTTTCATCCCCACCCCCCCTGTTCTCCTCACCTCCCCTTCCCTGTGTAGCATGGCCAAGCTCCTCTTCGGTCCACAGTACAGGAGCTTCTGTTTCCTGTAAAAAACAAAAGGAAAAAAATCAGCGCTGAATTGCCACACAAAAATGTAAATAAGAAGGCTGCACACCTCAAAGGGGAGTCCCCACTAACCCCCTAATAATAAAAAGGAATAAAAAAGACAGTAAAATAAGGGTGCACCTAAAATATATAAATATATAATAAGAACATATACATAAATAGAAGTATAATAAAATATTAAAATAAAATAAGTTAATTTAAAATAAGTGGTTGGCAATAGTCCAAAAAAACTTATCACAGTCCGTAATGGTAGGTCCCACGTGTAGAGAAGAAATTCTTAGGGTGTTGAATGGGATTAAGTCTTCACGGTTATATGCTTGAAATTCGATGGAGCATATGTAGAGAGAAAAATAAAACAGGACTCCAATGGCACAGTATATAGGTAATTAAAATATAAAGAAATAAAAATAGTCTTACTCACACTTTTCAGAGCTAAAATCCAGCTCTGATATTGCGCACGTAAAGTGGAATAATCCCCACTCAAGGATATGTGGAGTAAGGTTTGTTAGGTGAATATCTGGCGTAGGTTCAACGTCCAAATAAGTATATTAGGA